GGCTTGAGTATGAGAGCTCAAGTGATAATGAAGTTTGCTCCATTAGATCTAAGGGCAATTTTAGAGCTACCTAGTGCTAGTTTTAGCAAGTGTGCACCACACCTAACCCACTAGACTCACCTAGGTCAAGCTACCCGTCCATACCCCTCTTAATAGTACGACCAAAGGAAAAACAAAGTCCTAAACTACTCTAAGTGTCTCTTCAACACCAAACGACACTTAGAACTAGTCCATTCTTAACCTTGTCGTCCATCCTTTGAAAACCGAAATGATTTCCATCGTAGGGGCATGACCATCATGATTGCTCAATCGATCTCCATTATCGTGACCTAACTTAATTGCCTCTGCAAAACACACGTTAGTCACAGTAATCACGTATTGTCATTAATCACCAAAACCCAACTAGTGGCCTAGATGCTTCCTTTAGTGAGTTGACAGGACAACCTACTCCGCCATATTTACATGTCCCAGGTCCTTCTACCGTTGCACCTATAACCGGGACTATAGAGACGCTCCCTTCCTCAGTGGCATCATCAGAGCCAGCTGCTTCAGTCATACCAGCACAGCCTACAGCAGCTCTAGTTTCTGATCCGACCCAGACTGCTTTAGCATCACTTCCAGCTACAGAGGGTCAGACTGCTCAGAGCTTAGGGTCAGATGATGATGGCACTCAGTTTCAGCTTGCTCCTCGTACCTTAGCGCCCGGCTTGTCTGTTGTAGCCCCGCCGACCGACCCTTAGGTTTTGGTGTTTGACGCCAAAGGGGGAGAGGGTTCGAGTATGTTAGCCTTAGGGGGAACGACATTTTCTATTAGCTTATCTATTACATTTGGAGTTTTTATGTGTGATACACTATTATGCATTCGTCGTGTGTTTACTTTTTATACATCAAACTATATTTATATGATGGTGATATCTACGTGATCGTGATATATGGCATTCGTGCTCTCTACTTTGAATTATTTATGTCATATCACTTGTGTTATGCTCATTTGCTTTGCTTCCGTGTTTTACTCCGATGCAAATGAGCTTTATTACTTGTACTCATGCTTATTTCATATCTTTTGATTACATCATGTTGGCTTGGGTCATATAAGCTTGCCTAACACTTTTGTTCTTATTGCCAAAAGCTTATATGAACCAAGCATGTTAAAAACCTCAACTCTTTTCACATACTCGAGGTGGTATTGTCATCAATCACCAAAAATAGGAAGATTGAAAGCATCTAGGCCCCTAGTTGGGTTTCGGTGATTAATGATTATATGTGATTACTATGACTAACGTGTGTTTTGCAGAGGCAATTAAGTTAGGTCACGGTAATAGAGATTGATTGGGCAATCATGATGGTCATGCCCCTACGATAGAAATCGTTTCGGTTTTCAAAGGATGGACGACAAGGTTAAGGATGGACTAGTTCTAAGTGTCGTTTGGTGTTGAAAATACACTTAAAGTAGTTTAAGACTTTGTTTTTTCCTTTGGTCGTACTATTAAGGGGGGTATGGACGGATAGCTTGACCTAGGTGAGTCTAATGGGTTAGGTGTGGTGCACACTTGCTAAAACTAGCACTAGGTAGCTCCAAAATAGCCCTTAGATCCAATGGAGCAACATATGATCGAGAGTTGAAAGTGAATGGAGGGTCAAATACTGACCGGACGCTGGCTCCGGTGTGACCGGACGGTGGCTCAGAGTCCGGTCAGTTCATTTGACCAAGGTGTTTTCGTCTGGTGCGACCGGACACTGAGAGGTGAAGTGACTGGACGCTGAGAGCCTATGTCCGATCGACTCCAGTAAGGTTCCAGAGAGGGAAAATCATGACCGGACGCGTCCGATCACACTTTAAACACTGGAGTTCGGGGTCAACTGACCGGAGCGGCCGGTCAACATGACCGGAGCGTCCGGTCACCCCGTAGAGGCACATAACGGTTCGTTTTTCAGGCGCGGGGGATCAGGCGGCGCTGACGCGGGAGCAGGGCGCGACGGTGAGACGACGGCACAGGAGGCGGTGGCTCGGGCAATGCAGCGCGAGAGAGGAAACACGGTGGCGCGGCGAAGTCGACGGGTTAGGTCAAAAACGCGCGCGACAATTGAGTTATATGGGTCCCCCGACGGATTGGATTAGGAAAGAAGAAAGAATCTGGGCCCCGCACATTTTCTACTGACCGGACGTACCGGTGGCAGCGACCGGACGCTGCCACCCAGCGTCCGGTCGATTCCAGAGAGGTCCAAAACCCCTGGAATCGCGACCGGACGCGTCTGATCCCAACTGACCGGACGCAGCCAGAGTCCCGTGCAAGCTTACGCCTTCGTCTTCGATCGACCGGACGCTGAGCCACCATCTGACCGGACGCTGGGAGAACACTGTTTCAGTGTCCGGTCACTCCTCTGCAGTAGGTTCACCTCCTGTGAACTGACCGGACGCTGGATTTCAGAGTCCGGTGCAGCGTCCGGTCACTCCTTTTCCAGCGAATCTTCAAAGTCCTAAACTACTCTAAGTGTCTCTTCAACATCAAATGACACTTAGAACTAGTCCATCCTTAACCTTGTCATCCATCCTTTGAAAACCGAAACGATTTTCATCGTAGGGGCATGACCATCATGATTGCCCAATCAATCTCCATTACCGTGACCTAACTTAATTGCCTCTGCAAAACACACGCTAGTCACAGTAATCACGTATTGTCATTAATCACCGAAACCCAACTAGAGACCTAGATGCTTTCACCCTCCAACCCATTTGGTTTCGGGACAAAACGAACAAGACCTCATCGCGGCACTCAAATATTCGGTGTTGTCGGAATAAAAGTCGTTCTCGTCGACCATGTGCACGCTATACCCTCTCTACTAGTCGTCCAACACGAGGTAGAGATGCTGCTGCTGAGCCTGTTGCCACCGCTGCCTCAACATGCCAAATTTAGTCAAGCGGCTAGAGCAGCAACGCGACAATGGCCTCACGTCGTGTTCTCCCCTAGGCTCTCACGTTCGTCTCCATGCGACTCTCTGCACGACCTCTTTGACATGTTCAATTGCTCCCTCTCCGTTCAGCACCTAAGGACTTTTCTTCTCCTCCTTCTCCTTGCCTTATATATTGTCTCCCTATGACCCTGCAAGTAAGGATGAAAACAGACGGCAAAAATCTCGTCCCATCCCATTTTATACTTTTGTCCCGTTCGTTTCCGTATTTACGGTATCACGTTTTCATATTTGCGGAAATGGGAGATGGTGTTTTCTGTCTGTTTTAGCGGGATCCCGTTTTAATGTGGGATGGACCAGTATTTATCCCGTTTTTAACATATGTGTAAAAAATTGCATGTTCTTGTTTTATGTTAATACACATCTAATCACCAAATATGCATGTTACACATGACATGAAAGTGAATACTATATCAATCTTCATATATGTTCAGTATTGTGTGACTTAAAACATGCATACTTGATCATATTAGGTCATGTGAACCTAATTTATTTTTTTGGCTCTCCGTCCATATTTGTTTGTTTCCGCATGTCCGCATATCCTGATTCTGTTTTTTTTCAAACCCACATTTTCGCCAGAAAATATGAAAATGGAAACGGGAGGGATTTTTCCTTCCCGTCCGTTTTCATCCTACATGCCCAAAGAGAATAATATATAAAACAATGCATATATTATTATATTATTATATAGCTGAATCGGAGCACCAGCTAATCCGATTCCGCAATCGAACATTTCGAAATGGGGAGAATTATGTATTTGGCCCTGAAACAAATCAACCTTTCGTATTTTGCACTAAAAAATTTAAACTTTCTTATTTGGCACCAAGTTGAAATTTCCTTCCCTAGATAGCACTACCGTCCATTTGGGCTAGTAACGACGTCAAGTAGATGATAAAATGACATGAATACCCTCCTTCGTAGCAGAAATACGTGATGCCAAATAGAAAAATAACGAAAAACAGGTAGAGAGCAATGGCCGAGGCAGCGGCAAGGGGAGGGCGATGAGGTGCGCCAGCACCAGTCGAGGCGGGTGTGCGCTCATGCGCGCCGTGCCTCCACGACCGCTGCTTTCGCTTTTCGCCGCCAAGAACGCAGGCGTCCTCGCCGCCCCCCCCCCCACCAGAGCTTTGAGCCGAGCCGGTGTTCCCAAGATCGGTGTCGTCGCCAGACTTGTGCCGCCGCCAAGAAAGTCCGACGCGTCGTTAAGCGCCATAGGGGCGCCGTCGGAGCCGCTTTTCTTCCCGGACGCCGCAGTCGGCCCACAGACTGGCCCAGTCAAGAGCAAGCCGGGTTCGAGATGGCGACATCGGGTTGTTCCGGAGGCGGCGCAGACAGTTCTTCTCGTGCTTTCGCCGCGCTTTTTCCTCTGATCCGGACGACGACGAATGTGGCGACAAGGAGCGGAGGTAATAGTCCTCCAATTGGCTCACGGGGATCGTGCCGCGCGCCGCCTGCCGGAGGAGGAAGGACAGGGAGACCGCTCTGCCGCCGCCGCCCCCCCCTGCCATGGCAATGACCGGGGTCTCGCCGGTGAGGTACTACGCCGACGGGACGGGCGAGGAGAGCAACTCACCACCGCGAGTCGTCGTGCGTGCCTTCCGCTGCCGCCGATGCAAAAAACCCGTCTTGCGTCACCGCTTACTGGATCGGGGGCGCGCCGGGCCGGCGTCTCGGGGAGACAGGAGCACTCGGCCGCTCGGGAAGCCCAGGCAGAAATTGGATCCGCGAGTAACGGAGGGCACGTCGGTCACACCTGTAAAAAAACTGACACGGACAAAATAATCAGCTAACAGATGAATGGATGAAATGGATGGTAGTGCTATATAGGGAATGAAATTTTAACTTAATGGCAGATAAAAAAGTTCAAATTTTTAAGTGTTAAATATGATGCCGAATACATAATTCTCCCTTCGACATGTCCCCACTCCCCAGCTCAAAAAGAAAAGAAAACGGAAATGACTTGCAATCCAGGTCCTCTCCTATTCGTCAGTGACTGACAGCCCGGGCCCGGCACGAAGCGATGAGGCGATATGCGGAAGCTCCAAGCTGCCGACAGAGGAGTCACCGCAACGCGCCAGCGCCACCGTCTGATGTCTCCTGCTCCCCGCTGCGCCGTCTCACTCCCTCCGTATCCTTCTAATGCCTCCGCTACCAGCACCAGCGGCGGCGGGGGCGGGGTGAAGGCGCAGCGCCACCCGACGTCGTCGCAGGTGAGGCGGCTGTGCAAACAGGGCCGCCTGGACGGCGCGCAGCGGCTGCTCCTCGACGCGCTCCCGCGCCCGCCGCCGCCGCTGCTCTACAACGCGCTCCTCATCGCCTACGTGGCCCGCGCCCTCCCGGAACACGCGCTGTGGCTCTACGCGCTCCTCAACCACGCCGCCCGCCCCGCGCCACGCTCCGACCATTACACCTACTCCTGCGCGCTCACTGCCTGTGCCCGCACCCGCCGACTCCGCCTCGGGAAATCCGTCCACGCGCACCTCCTCCGCCGCGCTCGCTCGCTGCCCGACACCGCGGTGCTCCGCAACTCGCTCCTCAACCTCTACGCCTCCTCACCTCCTGCCTGCGGTACCGAGGCGGCGGCGGCGTCGACGTCGTTCGCAGGCTGTTCGACGCGATGCCCAAGCGGAACGCGGTTTCGTGGAACACACTGTTCGGTTGGTACGTCAAGACCGGACGTCCCCAGGAATCTCTGGAGCTGTTCGCGCGTATGCTGGAGGATGGTATCAAGCCCACGCCAGTCAGCTTCGTCAATGTCTTCCCTGCGGCGGCCAAGGAAGATCCCAGCTGGTCGTTGGTGCTCTACGGCCTCCTTGTGAAGCATGGGATGGAATATGTCAATGATCTCTTTGTTGTCAGCTCGGCCATCGCGATGTTCTCTGAACTCGGGGATGTGCAGTCAGCTTGGAGGGTGTTTGAGTACACTGCCAAGAAGAACACCGAGGCTTGGAACACGTTGATCACTGGGTATGTGCAGAATGGGAAATTTGCTGAAGCTATGGATCTCGTTATCCGGTTAATGGGGTCTAAAGATGTTCCAATGGATGTCGTGACCTTCTTGTCAGCAGTCACGGCTGCATCACAGTCCCAGGATGGCAGGTTGGGTCAGCAGCTGCATGGCTACTTGATCAAAGGAATGCACGCCACTTTGCCAGTGATACTTGGTAATGCACTTGTTGTAACGTACTCGAGATGTGGCAATGTCCAAACTGCCTTTGAGCTCTTTGACCGCTTACCACAGAAGGACATTGTTTCTTGGAACACCATGGTCACTGCTTTTGTGCAGAACAATTTTGATTTGGAAGGCCAGTTGCTCGTTTATCAGATGCAAAAATCAGGGTTTGCAGCTGATTGCTGATTCAGTGACACTGACTGCAGTTCTCTCTGCTGCGTCCAATACAGGAGACCTTCAGATTGGTAAACAAGCCCACGGTTATCTTGTAAGGCATGGCATTGAGGATGAGGGCTTGGAGAGCTATCTGATTGACATGTATGCCAAGTCCGGTCGCATAGAAATAGCTCAGAGAGTATTTGACGACTATGGTAATGTCAAAAGAGATGAAGTCACCTGGAATGCCATGATAGCAGGGTACACACAGAGTGGGCAGCCTGAAAAAGCAATCTTGGCATTCCAGGCAATGCTTGAGGCAAGTCTTGAACCTTCTTCAGTGACACTTGCCTCGGTGCTCCCTGCATGTGATCTTCTAGGAGGAGGTTTATGTGCAGGGAAGCAGATCCATTGTTTTGCTTTGCGCCGTTGTTTGGACACCAATGTCTTCGTAGGTACAGCTCTTGTTGACATGTACTCCAAGTGTGGCGAGATTTCTACTGCAGAACATGTCTTTGCTGTTATGACTGAAAAGAGCACTGTCTCCTGTACAACAATGATTTCTGGTCTTGGTCAGCATGGTTTTGGCGAAAGAGCATTGTCCCTTTTCTACTCAATGCAAGAGAAGGGGCTAAAACCTGATGGTGTCACCTTCTTGGCAACAATTTCAGCATGTAATTACTCTGGGCTGGTCGATGAAGGGCTTGCTCTGTACAGGTCAATGGAAACTTTTGGGGTTGCAGTTACTCCTCAGCACCGTTGCTGCATTGTGGACATGTTAGCTAAAGCCGGCAGAGTGGAGGAAGCTTATGAATTTGTGCAGGAGCTGGGGGAGGAGGGTAACTTCATTTCTATCTGGGGATCACTGCTCGCGTCCTGCAAAGCACAGGACAAGCAGGAATTGGTAAATTTGGTGACAGAGAGATTGCTCTGCATTGAGAAGAAGTATGGCCATGCTGGTTACAACGTTTTGTTGTCACATATTTTTGCTGCTGAGGGCAACTGGAGTAGTGCTGATAGCTTGAGGAAGGAGATGAGGTTGAGAGGGTTGCGGAAGATGGCAGGTTCTAGTTGGATTAAAGTCCAGGATGCAGCATTACAAAGCTCCCCTAAAAATGACCATGAACACTCATTGCTGCATGGGGTTGATTACAGTAGAGATGAAATCATCTGACATGTATCAGTACTGCAGCAGTGGAAAGCTTGCTGATCTGGTGTTTGGTCATGTTCTGTGACCTGATCAGCTCAGGCTATGACATATTAGCTTTTTGGTTAATTGCAGCATTAACACTTTGACAAAATTGGGGCACTTAGGAACATTTACATATATAAACCCACAAACTGAACTGCCGCACTACCTGTGAACGGTGAAATAGCCCTGCAGGTTGAGACCATGATGTCCTGGACCTAGATGCAGTCATGCAGGAAGGATATAGATGAACTGCCGCACTACTTGTGAACGGTGAAATAGCCCTGCAGGTTGAGACCATGATGTCCTGGACCTAGATGCAGTCATGCAGGAAGGATATGGATTAGTTGAATGCGGCGTGTTGCAAGCCGCAGTGAACAGTGGCCAGTGAGTGTTTACAAGATACTCAATACTCATGTCATGACCAGCAAAGGCATTGTTGCTCGGTAAATGTAGCATCCTACAGTTTTTAGTCGCAGTCCAAGACACATGACATGCATGGTGATTGGTGAAGTGTACAGCAATTTGTTCATATCTGAAGATGGGCAGTCGCACTGAAAGCATTCATGTAATTACTCAAATGAAGATGAAAATCATCATTTTTTTTTTCTTTGTGCTCGACGTGTTCTCCTTATGTGCATCTATGAAACCTGAAGGAGAAATTTTCTTGTAAGGCTCAAGGCCAATAAATTCTTGAGGTCATTAAACTGAGTAACCAAATGATGAAACCAGGTTATCTAGAAAAGTGTCCTGGTATGAAGGCCAATTCCACAAAGTTCAACAGTAGCAAAAAACAATGGTGTCATTTTTTCATCATATGGATATAATTTAAACTTTGTTGTTTCGAGATATCAGGAAAAACAATGACAAACTACAGGCTCATTCAAGCAATTCAATCTCGAAATGAGACGGATACAAGGTTCAAAAGTTACAGCTGACAATTCCCTACAATTCTCTATCTATTCATTTGCACACACGTCTATTGCTTGATATGAGTTTGGTCGGTGAGCTCCTGACCATTTTGATTGTGTGAGACAAAATACTGTTTGCTATAAGACTTGCCAATGGTTGTAGCAGCAAGTAGTTTTGAACATGTTAGCCTTTCCAGCTTAACATCTCTTGCTATGAGAATCACAAAATTGCTTGTATTCGCAGTCACAAGGACCCATCCTCACCTGTAGTTAACGGCCAAAATGAAGGAAATGTCAAATAAGTAAAACACAAGGAGTATTGTGGCTCTTACGAGTAAAGCTATAAGACTAGCGGCAAACCCAAAACTAAAAATGGAAAGGATGCAGACTATTGGTGAACTGTTCAGCTAGAACAATAGATTCAATCCAGTGCACCATGGGTGTACCCAGTGCAGAGAGCTCCCGCTTTATGCGGGGTCTGGGGAAGGGTGTTAGTGGCAAGCCTTACCCTCGCCTGTGCAATGCGAGGAGACCGTGACTCGAACCCGGACCTTCCGGTCACAGGCTTACTGTAAGACTCTACCGCTTGCACCAGGCCCACCTTTCAATCCAGCGCACCATGAAACAAATAAAATAAAACTGACCTTTCAGAAAGTGAAAGAAACCCGCCTTGAATTCCTTTTGATGACTTGACCACCCACGGCATCGATCTAAAATAAAACAGGGCACAAACATTAGCATGTTATTTACGGGTTGAATTTGTGCACTGTGAATAATAGAGAACGAAGCAAAGCAATGCATAGAGTTGAAGAATACATACTTTATGATGTGGTATATAGTGATGCCAGGCATAACGACCTTCTCCTGACATCAATAACATTGACCGAGGAGGTAGGAAAATGGCTTTCCTTATGCATTCTGGCTCTTGACTGCTATCTTCATCAACTCCATTGACCACACTTGGAGTACACCAACTGCCTTTAGTATATTTCCTGAACTCCATGATGCAAGGTCCAGCCAAAGAAAGGCTAAAAATCATTTCCTCAAATGCTGAGTGTGTGTCTATATGTGGAGACAAACCTACACCACAAGGATATTCATTTACCTGTAAAACACATGAACAATTTAATGCATTGTTTTTATTTCAAAAGCTAATGTTGTTATCACTGCTAAGGGCTCAAATCTAGACTGCATAATGGACCAAGGCAAGATAAGAATTATAGGTATCACCTTCAGCAAAGGAAACAATAGAGAGAACAATAGCCATATACACACTTACTGTCAATTGATCAACTAATCTGGTGGTACAGTCCTTCACACTGGGAAAAGAAGCAATCTTCTCAAGGACGGTTGAAACAAACGTAGGTAATTCACCCAAGAACTGCTTTGAATCAACATTCCTTGTCTGTGGATAGCAAAGAATCTTTTTCAACATAAGGCTAAGGTAGTCTCAAGCTAAAGATATGATGATTAAAGGAAATTGTGCAGTAGAAATTACAAGCTTTAAGTTTGTTCATGCTACAGAAACCTTTACTTTCTATGTGCAGCAGAAAAGTGAAATCAAACTGCATTTTATTACACGGTGATACTTCAGGACTTGATTAGGTTCAAGACTGGTGAAAATGGGATAGACAGTATGAAGGGTCACAAAATGAAGCCAATGCATCTAACACTTTTGAGTATAACCCTTTTTGTTTCTTGGCAGCACAAATATAGAAAGGCCATGCTCTCCTAACGAAATAAAAAACATCAGGCAGTAGTCCCATTCAATTATTGATGTAAGGAGAAAGCAAGATACTGGAACATTGCATCACCCTGAGATACTTACAAGATCAAACTTACTTCGTACAGAAACTCATAACCATAATGCTGAACTCGTCTCTTCGCCAGTCTTTTCCACGTCTTGCTATCCACAGCTGAAAGTAGCTCCTGAAAAGGAAGCAAAAGATATAGTACCACTCAGCACAGGGAAGCAGGGCTATTTAGCAAACCCTAAAACTTGGAGAACAAAGGGTCAAACGGAGATGACTCACAATTGGCTAACCTGTTCCTCAGCGGCAGTCACGAACTCCTGAACCATGTAAATCCCGGGGATTCCGAGCTCCGATGCCGCGAGAGCCACCGGTACAGAGCCCCCAGGGCGAGCCTTTGGCTTCACGGACACCGAATACCGTATGTGCAGCACGCGACCCGCAAGCAGGTCGCAGGGGCGCCCGTGGAGCGCGGCCATGGCGGCCTCCGCGGCGCCGGGCTCGTGGAACCGGACGATGGTGCGGGCGCCGCTGTCGTCGGCGGCCTGGACCCCTGCGACCTCCCCGAAGGCGCCAAACGCCGAGCGGACGTCGGCGTCGGTCACTCCCACCGCGGGCCCGCAGTTGGCCACATAGAGGACGGCGCTGGGAGGCGGAGGAGCGGTGTCCCCGGCGAGCGGGAGCGGACGTGTGTATCCAGACTTCGGCGCCATCTCTAGGAACTTGCGGCGCGGAGCCGAACCACTGAACCGGAGAAACGCGGGACGAACTGCACTTCGATAGCCGTAGCGGCGTAGCGCCGTCGGGGCCAGTGCGGCCGATCCCGGCCGCCGCCGAGAGGGGTGAAGGTGAAGCGAGCTGGCCCCTGCTGCTTGGGCTCGTGCTTCGTGGTCGAGGCGTACCGACCGTTTCGTTTCATCGAGGCCCAACCCAATAACCTGGGGGAATTCCTGCCATTAAAAAAAATCTCAATAGCGCCACTGTTTTAACTTTTTTTTTTCCTTTTTTTTTGCCCTCCATGTCACTACTGTCGTTTGAGTTTTCGTCGTTGTCAAGCTTGCGAAAAAAAAAAAAATATTTTAACTCTAAATATGTCATTAATTTTTTTTTTTGAGCATCTTAACGACTTCAAATGAAAAAACTCAAAACTAGAAAGTTGTAGATCTCGTCGAGATCTATAATTTTATATAAAAATTATCTTCATTTAATTCACAAAAATATGATTTGATATGATTAATATATCTTAGAAAAATCATATTTTTTTTTGAAATTAAATGAAGATATTTTATATAAAATTATAGATCTCGATGAGATCTACAACTTTCTAGTTTTGATTTTTTTCATTTGAAGTCGCTAAGATGCTCAAAAAAATTAATGGCATATTTAGACTTAAGGGTATTTTCGTCTTTTCACACCTGCAGTTTGACGGTGTTAGAGCCTAAACCGACGGCGGTGGCATGGAGGATACAAAAAAGTCAGAGCAGTGACGCTGAAGACCGCTAAACTTTTCTAGAAACACACAGGGCATTGCGATCTTGTTTTTAATGGCACGTAGGAATTCCCCCTAGTAACTGAGCCTCGGGCGTCTGGTCGGAGTCGAAATGTCAACGGGAAATTCCCCGTCGGGGGTTACTGCCCTATCCTTGTCTCCGCGGGGGTAAATTTCCCCCGTCCCCGTTCCCGTGAAAGCTCATGGGGAGCACTTCTTCCCCATCCCCGTCCCCGCTCGGGGATTTAATCTCCGCGGGGATCCCCGCCCCCGCAACACGTGAAGCACGCTCGTCGCCACCGTCGTGGACGCCATTGACGAGCACCTCACCAAGCACGCCATAGTTCCGCCTCTTTGCCACTCACCTCTCTGCCGCCAAAGCCAGCCACTTCGTTGAAGCCGCCGTTGCCGAGCTCGCCTCTGCTACTGGATTGAGGAAGAGGAGAGAAAAGATTACAGAGATGAAGCTTCGGCAATGAGGGCTCATTGGGATTCAAGAGGAAGGAGGGAGAGCAAGACGGAAGAGGCCACGCTTCATGAAGCCGCCGCCGCAAGCAGGGCAAGCTCAAGGCGAGGGAGAGCAAGACGCGGGGGCGCCCTGCCACCGCCACCCACCGGAGGCGAGAGGGGAACAAGAGGCGCAGACGCAGGGTCGCCGCCCAGCAGTGCAGGACCGGGGCGGGGGGGAGCCACCGACGGGCGGCCCGACGCCGAGCCTAGGAGCGCCGCCATCGCATCGCATCGCGTGTCTGAGCGCAAGTGGAAAGGGAGCGGATGCTTTGCCGAAGCTATGCCCTATGGGCCGGGTCATCTTGGCAGTGTCTTAAGGGCCTC